TCCGGCTGCTACAAGATTTTTTGCTCATCTGGTCAATGTTATGTTGGTGAAACATGTCGACCTATTCGACAAATATTGGGAAAACACAAAAATGCTTGTAAAGGAAACTGGGTCCAACGGTCAGAAGTGGCCGAACACATGGTAGAAACTGAACATTAAATATAATGTTCTCAAACTAGTAGGTTTGCTGATTATGTTACGCCTGTGGTTAAACGAAAGATAAAAGAGGCTAATGAAATTATTAGTTTAGGAAATACGTTGAATGCGTGGAACGGTGGTAGAAAGTTGAGTAGGAACTACTTATGCTTGATTGATAAATTGAAGGAGCGAGACGGTGTTGAGCCGCCGTCAAAAAGGTTCTATTTTTACTCACTCCAACATGTTATATTAAGCTCATCAACCAAACCAGACTTACGAGATTATGCAGCCCCAGTCATGCCTTTCCTTGCGGAGTTAAACGTTAATGACCCTAGACTGAGAGGTTAGGAAAAGTGGTTTCGTAACTTGACTTACACGCTTACAAGCTCATATCTCATTATCTCAAACATACTTGTTTACGGACTTACGCAGTCTCGGTCAGGTCATTAGGCATTGATGATCGGAGCCTAACTTTAACCTTTTGGTAACTCTGATTTAGGACCGGTATTGAGTATAGACGTTAACATAAACACATAAACACACAAACACACTCTAGCACAAGTAGCAGGACCAGTATGAAAGATAATAAGCCAAACCACTATATTTCTATCTAGATATGGCTCAATTGAGTCTATATGAGAGGTAAGATAGAGCCGGATAGTCTTCTTGCCCTAATGTTAACATGAGACTTTTACAGCAACGACACCCAACTCTGATGATGTCCATCATATCATGGACGAAAGCTCAACTCGTTTTCACTCGAAACGAGGGAGGAAGTCCCTTCTGGTAATATCAACCTACCAATCTCTTCTTCAAGCACTTTCATACGAAATGAAAGTCCCCGAACAATGTTATCTCAGGAGATTAATAGAAACCCAGTTTCTCTTCGTATCTGCCAGAAAGAGGTTCAGGCTGTCCCTCCCGAGGAGTGCGCTTCTAATACAATGTTGCATACAACCCTTGCGTTTAGCCTTCCGGCTCTCAGTGAAGCCATTTGCAAAAGATCCATTCGATTTCAAAGTCGTCTGCAACCTGCAGCCACTTTCCTACAAAGCACGCTGGAGTTGAGACTAGTCGGGAAAACCATCCTTGCCTTTCCGCCAACATGCGTCAAGCGATCCTGTCTGTCACGTGATGATGATACCTTCAGACCATTCCAGCTCTTCTCAGCCCGTCTTCCCATCGGCCAAGGGCGTGTGCCCAGTCCCACTCTGCCCGAAGGATCAAGGGTGGGAGTGTAGGAGGCTGCAGTCACCTGTGGCCATTGTCCTTCGGATGAATTTCCTGTCCTTC